ATATATATATATATATATATATATATATATATATATATACATTGTATATAAATAAATAAATAAATATTATATGTATTTATTATAATATATATATATATATATATATATGTATATATATATATATATATATATATATATATATATATATATTATATATATATCCACAATAGATGTTCTACGGGGGAAACGGATATACAAATGATCTAAACTAATATTGAATAACAATTACAAAGGCAAATAAGAACAAACAAAATGGAAATAATAGGAAACGCAAAACATATAAAACACAAGTTGATTTACCAAATAGGACATTAAAAAAAAGAAATATTGGGCTTACGTATTTTCTCCGTAGTGGTGCAGTGTGGAGTATGACTCCAACACTACAACCAATCAATCAACTTGTATTTTATATGTTTTGCGTTTACTATATATTTCCATTTTGTTTGTTCTTATTTGCCTTTGTAATTATTATGCAATATTAGTTTAGATCATTTGTATTCTCTTTACATGCAGATTCTGATGATGGACACAGATGTTCCGAAGCTCAATAATAAATATAGCCCAATGTGGTTTCTGCTGTCCTGGTCCTCCTGTTTATTATATATATATATATATATATATATATATATATATATATATATATTTATATTATTTTTATTTATTTATTTTTATATTAATATATATATGCATATATATAATTATATAATATTATATATATATATATATATATATATATATAATATATATATATATATATATAATATATATATGCATGTATACATCCATTCATCCATCCATCCAACATGAATACAACATACATACATACATACATACATACATACATACATACATTCATACATATATACATACATACACACATACATACATACATACATAATATATAATATATGCATATATATATATGTGAATATATATATATATAATATATATATATATATATATATATATATATATATATATATATGTGTGTGTGTGTGTGTGTGTGTGTGTGTGTGTGTGTGGTGTGTGTGTGTATTATGTACGTGCGTATGAATGTATGTACACACACACGGATATATACATATATATACATATGTGTGTATATGTGTTTGTATTTGTGTGTGTGCGTGTATGTGTGTGTTTGTGTGTGCGTAGAAGCACACGCAGAAGATGGAAGTATCCTCTAAAGGTGGGCCAGATAGGTGACACGCAATGACAAAAAAGGAATGCACAGACACCGTCAGGATCATACGTCAGCGCAGTTTCAGTTCCCACAGCTGCCCGTGCTGACGTTCACCCCCGTGGCACGCTGATGATGCTGACTGGCTCGGCCTCTTGCTCAGGGGTTCTGCAAGGCATGGACCCCCCCCCCCCTCTTCAACCCGACCCCCACGTCAAGAGCTGCCTTGTTTCTTGCCTTTGCGCATTGACCAGTTCCGCACCTTATTCCGGGTAATAGAGTGGCGACCTCCTGATATAAACACATCTTCAGCTGACAGCTCAATGCCTATTCGCAACCTCAGATACTACTCTCTCAGTAACGGTAATTCCTACCATCCATCAAGGTACCGTCCGAACACCATAGCTGGACGACCCGAGAGTCCCGAACTCATATCCTTACGCAAAGCACCCACGCTGCCGAGTCAACACACATTACCCATAGCCTGACCTCCACCCTCCATCTGCAACACATCATCCTAGCTCTAATCACATCACCGGCTCTTAGCAAAGCCCCTCATTTATCATTGCCAGTTGTCCTCACACCCAAAGACACCAACAATCCACACTCCAGCTACTTTCACCTCGCTTTACACACGATGCACACACCAATCTTCTCTGCCCTGCCTACTATTCTCACTCGTTCGGCTTACACTACTGCATCACCGTCAACGCCTATCGCCGAGCACCCTCCCCTCAAGCAGCGATATGTACACCGCTTGTGTACTCACCCTGACCGCTGCACGCAACCAGACATCTCAATGGAGAAGGGTCGTACCCAAAGCCAGCACCTACTAGATACGACAAACAGATAATCACGGAAACTGCGCAAGCTGCTCCTGATCAAGTCCCTCGCCGTACACCAACTAGTGAATATCACGAGTCTCGGTCTGACCAGCGATCCTCAGATCCAACGCCACAAGATCACCGAACACCATCTGTGATGCGACCTTCGACACCGCATCACGACCGTCACACTCGATACCCGCCAATCTCTAGTAAGATTACTCATCTACATAAACCCTTACCAACGTTCGTATCAGCCGACTGCATGTCGCGTCTACCCACATCATATAGCCACCTTTCACCCGAACAAGACTCCTAACCACGATACTCAAGGACCCTTCACATCTGCCTTCACACGATCCTGGACCCTATAAGTACACGCCATGTCAGTCACATCTCCATACCTCCATCCAACTTCTTGACCGATTCTCCCATACAGACAATAGACTAACGTTACAGACGACAGATAATCTAGACTGGCATCACTCAGGCGCCGCATAGCTCCATCAACCACGATCACGCCAGTAGAACGCGCGAAGCCTAACCGATATCGATGCCCTGCCAGATTAATTACCCCTCCCTGACACATCACACAGCACCATAAATACCACCATGACTCAGTAAGCTGCCCACAGACATCGACCACAGAGACCCCTCTAATCAATGACTAGAATTGTACTCCTACCGGCCTGCTCAGCGCCGGCACTCGTACATCCTAGAAAAGATAACGCACACACTTCTACTAGCGCGCATCCGGACGAATCATCTCATCTTGTATTAAACGGCGTTCTGCACCTCAACGCCTAACTTCAAGCACCTGCCAACTCTATATGGAAGGGAACTACATGTGTTAGCGAGCTCATGCATCGCACTTACAGATATATGTCAGACTCTCCAACTCACACTGTGTCTGTTCTATCACTCTCTGTTTCCCTTTTCCGTGAACTCTCTAAACTCTCATGTTAAAGTATACTTTG